TGAGGTAGGAGAGGCAAAGTGTTTTGAACTGATCACAGCCCCCATTCCCTTCCCCCTGCACTACTCGGCGGGGGAGTCAGAAGTGTCAGGAGGGAAGATGAGCCTGGGAAGAAGGGAAGGTAGGGGACAAAGGTCTTTTTGGTTTTATTTTAATTTCTCACTGTCCTGCACTGTTATTAACTGGCAATAGATGAGGCTGTTTTGCCCATAACAGCAACTGGTAAATGATCTCCCTGCCTTTATCTCAACCACAAGATTTTTCATCGTATTTTCTCCCTCTGTGCTGTTGATGATGGGGAGTGAGAAAGTGCCTAGGTGGTCATCTGGCAGCCAGACAAGGTCAACCCACCACACACCCTCTCTGAGATGCCGGATTGCTAAATCCAGTGACTTCAGGTACTGAGTCCCTGTGTCACTGTGAGAGAGGTGCATCTGCGTGGTGCAGAAAGAGACAGCACTGCAACTTCTCCTTGACTCTCACTTCACTGCTTAAAACGCTACATGCTGCTAAACAGTTTCTTCTTCAATTTCAGCATAAAACCTGAATGTTTATCATTCACTTATTCTTTAAAAGGAGTGTGGTTCCAAGTACACTATACACAACTGAGTCCACAGGGAGAGAGAGATCCTTCTACAGGTTAGATCTCTGTATCCATGAAAATTAGAAGGATGAACTACTGAAGATGTTCTGTTTCTTAGGCACTTTAAGGTAGCTGATAATCTCATAATTTATTATTAATATTTTTCTACTTGAAAGGGCTTATACAAGTTATGTGTATGCTTTTCTGTAGCAGGAACTGTGGTCATAGGACTAAGCTGTCATGCAGCAAACTGAGATGTAAACTTACAGTGCACATTGGAAATGGTAAAAATCATCTTCTTTTATCACATAGGAGCTAACACAGTGTAAGTTCACACTCTTTTAGCCATTTCATAAATACTACCTATACTTTTCACTCACCATATTTGCTTCTTCCATTTCATCAGTTGCTTAGAACAAAGTGTTTATTCTTTCTTACCTGTTTTTCTCATGAATTTTTAGGATTTCATGTGTCTGTTGTAGCAGCTGTTTTTCTAGCTTGTACGTTGACAGAGAATTTTCCAGTAGCTGAATTTCAAGTCTGGATGTTTGATTTAGCACCTTAAGGATAAATTAAAAACATTAATGTTTATATTGTCCTGGTTATGTTGTTGTAGCAACGTAATGCAATCATTTCATTCTTATTTGATAATTTGTCAGAAATTGTTTCTAAATCCTTTTTTAACCTCAGCTGGTGCAGATGAACTCAATCAAGCTACACTGATATGTACAAGCTGATATTCTGGCACCCTGTTTACTGTAGAATAATATTAGGCCGGCAGAAAAAGGAAAGGTAACTGCCAAATAAGCTTCGTTTCAATGGAAAGAACAAGAGGCATGCCTCAAACATGCATTCCTACAAGGCATTCATAGACCGGATAAGCGCAAGAGTACTTGGACTGAAGCCAAAGTGTTCCATCCACTGTTTTGTAAATGGAGCTCTTACTTTAGCTTTCCCCCGGGTTCTCTCTTTTGCATTGTTGGCAGAAGTCTGGTGTCTGCTTATGTTATCAGTACTTGCACTCTTACACAGATTTTTAAGATGAAGTCAGTGATCCTAAACATTGCTTTACGCAATTGTCTGTCACTTTAGTGGTGGTCTGTATCAATAGCACAAGTTTTACTAAGTACATCAGATGGAAAGAAGCCTTTTAACGAGCTGAAAGAGAATAGATTCTAACAAAAAATAGTTCAAAAGTGGAAATAACAGAATGCTTTCAAGAATGAAATCAATAATATTAATTAATGTTAGTTGATTTTGTTGGGATATTGTCGTTCATTACATAGAGTCTGAAGGAGTGTGTGTGAATAGTTTTTGTAGGCATGTGTGCACACAACAGCTGAGATGCAATCGCTTCTGGAACTGAACATGAGGCCCTTTTAATGGAACCTATCAGGCCTTTCTTGGAAGGACATTTATTAGTATCATCATGGGATAATATGGTAACATTTTCTTATGCATGCCTGATACGAATTTGTTACAGAATATAAAGGAAAGAGAATGGCACTTCAACTCAATCCAGTGCCTTATTTTTATTTGAAATTGTTGAGGTTCACAGAGCAACTGGAGTTGTCCTTTTTAATGCTACAGAGGTTGAAAAAATTCGAAATGATCAGTATGTAGCTGTTATGTTATTTAAGATGGACATAAATGGAAGTGCCAGGAAGTGTCACCACAGTTTCAGAAGGACTTGACAGAAATTGAAGGTGTATTACAAAGGTTGGCTAGGAGTAAGAAGACAGGAAAGCACCAACAGATTTCCAAAGAGGATACATCCATGGAGCAGCCTACAAAACATCAATAGAGCTTCAGTTAGAGAAGAAAGACTAAAGGGAATCATTGGGATTTTGGATTAATCAGGAAACAGGAGGGGTCAGTGAGATTTTAAGGTAGTGGAGGCTCCATCTTTAGTCCTTCGGACTCCTCCTTGGTCTGGTATGAGTACTTCTTATTACAGGCATGAGATCCTGGCCTGCCTTTCTTCTTCTTGTATCCTACAGACCTTTACCTCTCTGCCATGTAGATGGCTACCTCCATCACTGCCAAAAGCAGTCTCTTTTAGCTTTCTTGAGCCACCTGCACCACCCTTTTCTGATTGGTGGTAAAGCCAGGGACTACGGGGACTTTCTCACATTGCTGAAAGAGGGGAGGTGGGAAATGTCATCACTGAGCTGAAAGTCAGAGCAAGTACTGCAACAAGGAAGAGTCACTGTCGCTGATATAGTGAAGATCCCTTAAATTTTTCAGCAGTAAGTATAGAGGGAGGAAGTCATCTGCTCCTTCATGCAGTTGCCAATGATGCTTGTACCTTGACGTGGTTCCTCAAAGGAAAGTTGAGACAGAGGCAATGCAGATTTTGTCCCTTACCTGCTTAAAGGAGGAAACCGTGAATGAGTACTCAACACTTACACCTAGGTAGGTCTTCTGGGATATAAGAAGAGTTCCTACACCTCCTTTTTCTTTACAGAACACTACAGTCCATAGGTCTTCACCTCTTATATTTTCATTTAGATATTCTGTTGATACTAAGTTAAAGAATTTCTCCAACATTTTGATAAGTCAATATACTATGTTGTAGAAACTGTGATCATTTGAGATCATAATATTTGTGAGTGAATGTTAACCAAGATGTAGAAAAAAAGGTGCAGGGAACCCATGTAAGACAGTGTACCTGTCTTTCATGATTACTGTTGTTTCTCAGTGTCCTGTAATGCGATTATGAAAAAACTTGGTAATGACATTGTAAACATGAGTAAGGACATTAGAACAGAAAATAAGACCGTTCAAGAAGTACGTATGCTACTAGAAGAAACCAAATAAATGCAATACCTTCCTTTGTTACAAATTAACTGAATGCAGTGCTGCTGGTAATATACCACATGCTACAGAGATTAACAGGAAGTCAGCAAAAATAAGGAAAAACAAACTCGCCTATTAAACTGATAAAAGAACTCAAAAGACAAAAATACTTATCTTTGCAATAAACCCAGTAAGAAATAGTGCTCTGTTATGACAGTGGTACTCTTTTTGAATCACAGTAGTGATTTTAATGCTAGGAATCACAGATATTGCTCTTGAAATTTATGTGATGTTATACAATTTTGCAGTGATAAAAAATACACAGTGTTTTATAAAGAAGCGGATGCTTGTCCCCTTCTCTTCACAGCATGAAACCTGCAGACATACAGTACATTTCACATAGGTGGAAGCATCTTATGGAAAATAAACTTTCTTGTAATAATAAAGAGGCAAACAACAATGGAGATCTAAGGCTCTGTTTTAGCCTTAAACTCGTTATTTATCTTGACACTTGTATCATTCACAGTTGGTAACTGGGCTGTTTATTTGAAGTCAAGTGCTGATTCAGTTTCCTGGACAGTCCTTCCTGCCTCATGCATACAGAGCTAAATATGCTAACCAAACAAAATCAAAAGAAAGATACAATAATAAGGGTCAGTCATCACTGCTGTTTGTACCGAGAAACAGAGTGTGTGTGTTCCTTGGAGCCCTGTATTGAAACGTTTTGTGTGGTGATGCATTAGAAAAGAAAGAGGATGGGAAACGTTCTCTGCAATTAACAGCTTTTAGAAAACCGCTCTGGGAACATACCTGGGTTTCAACATCCGTGAGTTTTCTCGTCTGCTCTGCTGTCTGGCTGAGGAGGCTGGTCCCTATCTCGAGCATGGTGGCGGTGTGGTTCTGCACAGCATTCTGCTGCAGCTGCACCATCTCCGATTTCATGTTTTCCACAATGTAGTTCTCAAGCTGCAAAAGAAAAAGGTTGTAACTGTGGTATTTTTACCTGTTTAAGCATTCTGGTGACATAAGGGCGCATAGCTGGCATTCTTGCCGAAAGAGGAAATGTCAACAATTTCAAGGGGAGCCCAAGTCTCAGCTGACCCTGTGACTGCTGGAGTAGGGACCCGACCATCTGGGTAGCCTTTTTCAGTCACAGAGTCCCAATGTTGCTCCAAATATCTCAACCTGCTGGCATGATCAGTAGCAGACCCTGCCTGCCTCTATCTGTGTTGAGGCTGCAGTGAGCATTTCTGGTAGAGATGTCATGGCAGCTCCAAAATGAACCTCTAAAAGAACAAAGCTCACCACAGGGAAATGCTAGGTGTTACTTGTACATAGTAACTTCTATATGAGTCCTGTGTGGAAGAGATCCTACCATATCCTGCCTCCCCTGGATTGTTCCTATCTCACAGCCTTTCAGCGATATGATTTTTTACTGTGTTAGATGCCCACAAGAAGTTTCACAAACTCTACAATGAACTTTGCTTAATTTACCTTTGACCAAAATATTGTAAAGGAATAGACACACTATCATGACAATAAAAGAAAGAACTTGTTGACCAAAAAACATAGAAATCTGTTTTGCTCCTTTGCTTTTGTTGTCTTGATATTGTTTGGCTTGCATTTTCAGTCTGTTGAACAGAATTTGAATGAGGACCCTCTAAATAACCTGGGCACCCCAGAGAGAGGGTCATCTTTTGTTTGGTTTGTTTTAGTTAGCACAGACAGGGTTATTCCCTTCTAGCCATCTGCGTGCTCACCCTGCCACAACACGCCATAAACCCAGCACTAGTCTGCAGTATGATGAAATTATTTCTTACATACACAGGCATTATTCTGACATCTTGCTTGATGTGCTTCATAAACTTTTAACGTAAATAAAGGTTGCCCAGAACATTGTTTACAATACCTTCCACTGAAATCAGCTGGAGTCCAGCCAATTCACACCCAGGGAAGATTTGGTCCTCAGTTTCAGTTTGTGGCTGCTGCTGATTTTTTATGGTTAGCAGATTCCTGGCTTAAGCAACCACTGTTTTGCCTAATAATTTTAATCACAGTGGACCTGCTTCTGCAGCAGTAAGCATGTCTCATTGTAAAAGGTAAGCTGCACAACTAAATAGTAAGAACCAGATGGAGTTGATTTAAAGTCTGAAGAAAGGAGCAGAGTCAGATATACAGTGTGATTAATAAGAAGGACTGCTTTTATCTTATCTATAAGCATTCCTACGCTTATGGGTGACTACTGTTAGATGTTCTGATGAGTCATATCAGCCGAGCTCACATAAGATTTATTACAAATTTGATCATTTATCTGAACCTCCTACTAGTTTTAAAAACATTTTTCCAGAGAAAGAACACTGCCACAATGTAAAATATTTTTTTGCACAAGACAGTTGATTGTTTGTTTTTTTACCACAGTTTGGAGAAGCACTTAATATCCATGATGGTCAAAACCAAAATGGATGTCCTACAGTTTCAGACAACAAAAACATTTGTTTGAATTGCCAGGTAACCACCCTGGGCTGAAAACCTGCACTGTTTTAAGTGGTGGGGAAAATTTATTGTTGAATACTCTGTTAAGTATTAAAATGAGATTTAACAGCCAAGGAAAACTATTTACTGAAAAACCATGTCTGCAGTGGATGTCATCATTTTCTACTCCCATTGTAAGTTTACTCTGTTTTAATTTATTACTGTGAGATCAATGTTAGAGATAGTAAGCTAGTTCAAGGGATATTTTACAGATCCATCACATTTCTACACCATGCTTTTATGTTCAGAAGTATTTTGCCTCTATATCTTTCATATCACATAATGTATTTTTAGCCACAGTTTGCTTCTTGTTGTTTTCTAACCAGTAATTTTTTTTTTCCAAACTATCCCTTGGTTGCAAATAATCCATATGAAAGAGCCCCACAAACTGGATGGTTGTGCTTCTCCACTTTCTGGTCCAAATACTGGAACACCTGAACAAGAAGTTAAAATTTCTTTCACAATTTTCACCTCCTAAAAAAACACAGGGCTCTCAAGTACAGCCCATGCTAGGGTGCCAACACGCATATTTCCTCACATCCGATGTTTTCTACTTCCAGACAGGACCATAGCACGTCTGTGGTGTGGCTGTGCAGTGCTTGATTTGTTAGTCCACAGCTTTCTGAAACTGCCTGGCTGCACAAGTGCCAAGTGGTGCATGTGTGTAACGAATGTCTGGAAAAATGCATGCAAAATATGATGGCAACACTTACTACACGTCAGAAATCAGAAGTGGGATATTTTCATACATCAATGAAAAGAAACACAGATAGGGATACAAATATAAAAAGACAAACAGACACAACTATAACTAATATTTTGCCTGTAATTTTACTCACATTACAGAAAGGACTGTATTTGAAATATCTAGCTGCATCTGTGTGGAGCTACTGCAGGTTTTGACTAGCAAGAACACAGGCAGAGGTTGAGGCATATTGGAGAACTTGTACTTTTAATTATTGTAGTCTAACACACTCTCCATGGTATCCAGTCTTGGGCAATTGCCCTTGGTTACTCACCCCTAAAATAACCTTTGGTTGAATCTGAGACTGACTCATTATAACAACAAAGCTGATTTTCCTGTTTCAGAATTACTCATTAAATGCTTTTGTAAATATTTGTTGTTCAGTACACTGCCACAGTAGTTTCTGAGAGCACATCTCAGGAGTATCAGGAGCTATTCACTTAGGCAAAGGAGGGTAGAGCAAGGACTGAAATAATGTATAGGTTCTGTTACATTAATTCCCCTTCCTTCCTTCGCCCACTTCGTTTAGTTTGTTCAGTAGATTTATCAGTTGCAATACTGGCCCTGCTAAAATGAATGGCAAAATCCCCATTGACTTCAATAGGCCAAGATTTTGCCTATTGCTTTTATTGTAGGAAACCAACATTTCTCAGGTACATTATGGCCAAGCACCGAGTTTTATCTGAAGCCTACCCTTCTTTGGAGGCTTTGTATTAAGTGTACTGAACCTTAGACTGAGCTTTCCTGGTGGTTAGTTAGAAGGAATAGCATCTATTTAACAGATGATAAAAGGATCCTTGCAGGGTGGTGTCACAGAAAACGTGACACGCAGAAGCCTATTCACAGAGGTAAATTCAAGAACATTTAGGATTATAAGTCATTTTTTAGAACTCTTTCATCCTGTAATTAAGATAAATTCAATTTGTCTGGAGACTCTGCATTAAACAGTAAATATATAATGCATGAGAAAATACTCTTTTCAGGTGAATCTACTTTTTATATGTGGATTTTCAAATCCTTGTATTACGGTTTCTTCTTATTTCAGTTATTTTCTGTTACTAAAATGAAACTGAATTGTTTCCTGCATTCTTTTCCCACCCCTTCCACTATATGAATCTCTATAGTGCGTTGATTTCCCTGCTATTAGTTCGGCTGCATCTGCTTTCAGTAACACTCTTTACATTGCACAGGAGTTTTCAGTATTGCAGAATTACTGGGGGGATGCATAATAATGTAATAGCATTCTCAGAAATAAAACTGTCAGAAGGTTCAATGTTATTATTTAATAAACATTCAAAGGATTGTGCATTAAAAGTATCTAGCTTTTTCTGGAAAATGTTTATTGAATAATCTTCACAGAAACCACACAAACACTAATAGAACTATTAAAATGGAAACTGTGACTTAGGGCCTCAGTAAATGATAATGATTTGTGGCAGATGGCTTACAAATGAAATAAGAGCTTTTTCTTTTACTTTGATGAACTCATGTTGGTCTTGTGTAATTATATGATAAGGACTGCTATGATATCCAGATGACATTAGGTTTTCATACAGTGCCTTAGAAATAAGAATACAAGTTAAAGTAAAAATAGACTGCTCTCCCTTTCCTAGTATTAACCATTCGCTGATGACACCAAACTGGGAGGTGTGGTAGATACACCAGAAGGCTGTGCTGCCATTCAGCATGACCTGGATAGGCTGGAAAGTTGGGCAGAGAGGAACCTGATGAGGTTCAACAAGGGCAAGTGCAGGGTCCTGCACCTGGGGAGGAACAACCCCATGCACCAGTACAGGCTTGGGGTGGACCTGCTGGAGAGCAGCTCTGCGGAGAGGGACCTGGGTGGTTAACCATGAGCCAGCAGTGTGCCCTGGCTGCCAAGAAGGCCAATGGGATCCTGGAGTGCATTAAGAGGAGTGTGGCCAGTAGGTCGAGGGAGGTTCTCCTTCCCCTCTACTCTGCCCTAGTGAGGCCTCATCTGGAGTACTCTGTCCAGTTCTGGGCTCCCCAGTTCAAGAAAGATGAGGAGCTACTGGAGAGAGTCCAGCGGGGGGTTACAAGGATGGTGAGGGGACTGGAACATCTCTGCTACGAGGCGAGGCTGAGGGGGGTAGGACTGAAGCATAGGAAGTTCCGTCTGAACATGAGGAAGAACTTCTTCCCTCTGAGGGTGACGGAGCACTGGAACAGGCTGCCCAGGGAGGTTGTGGAGTCTCCTTCTCTGGAGATATTCAAGACCCGCCTGGACAAGGTCCTGTGCAGCCTACTGTAGGTGACCCTGCTTCAGCAGGGGGGTTGGACTAGATGACCCACAGAGGTCCCTTCCAATCCCTACCGTTCTGTGATTCTGTGATTCTGTGATATCTTGCATGTCATTTTGAATAATAGAAAGACAAAGCACTAAGAGCTGTTTCATCATGTCTTGCTTTGCATACCCGAAGATGTACTAGTAATACTATACCACAACAACCAGTGAAAGTTCTTTACTTCTTCATTGTTTTCCTGTCGGAGAGAGCGTCACACCTCCCTACACTGACAAATTGCCTTGGGGAGTCAGATATAAAGGGTAGATATGATGTAATTTGGTTTTTATTGGTGTTTATATATTTACATAGACACCCTTGGAATAAGCTGGAAGAAGTTGAAATGCATATAATACCGTAGAATTTCTTTGACTTTTGCAGAAGCC